AAACAGTAACAAATATTGCAGAGAGAGAGATCCGGGGATTAAATAAAGGGCCACCCTTGGTTGTTAGATATGACCTTGTGCCAGCTCTTAGCGATTGTAGCACAAATAACAGAGCAGCTACTACGGAGTACCAGCCTTCTCGATAAAAAGGGATACGATTTCGAACCTGAATAAAACCTATATTATATTTCCGCTCCATGCTTTTCCATGACGATCGTAGACCGACGGTATTAATAGTTACACTAGGAAAAACTAAAGAGAACAAACAAATACGAATTTTTTAAAAATTAGCAATATTTGTATCTACCAATAAAAATTCAAGATAATAAACATAGATTATCAAATCATTAGTGAAAAATAAGCCGATAAAACTTCCATGAAAGTACCTTTATATTATTTATTTACATTATTCGGATTATTGTCCTCATCTTTGTCGGAATATTTATTACAACGTTTCAGCCATTGTACGCTCCGACCTTCTTCAAGTGGTTGGAATGTCGAACTTAATCCTTTATTTCGCTCACTGAGGTAGACTGTCTTCAATGACACATGGCATAGCGGATAAAGGCGTTTGTTAGATCCAGTGACAGGCCCAAAGAATGTGAGTTCAACACCCGAGAAGAACTTTCAGAGGGGAATTAACAGGAGATAACTGATAACAGACATCAATTAAACATGGCACGTGGAACTAGAACAGTCTACCCCAGTGATCGAAATAAAGGATTAAGTTCGATATTCCAGCCACTTGAAGAAGGCCGGAGCGTACAACGGCCGAAACGTTGTAATAAATATGACGACAAAGATGAGGACAATAGTCCGAATAATGTAAATAATGTACATAATACGTCATCTCAGAAATATAGAAAGATACTAAAATAACACTAGTCAAACATTAATGGCTGACATGTTTCATGAACATGGTTATAAACATACACCGACGATTTTTCTCAAATTTGTAACCATCAATACATAAACACACATATAAACAGGCACCTGCGTAACTCATTAAGAATAAAGCAGATGTTAACGGAGAAGGCGAAAAAATAATAAAAGACTAACCAAAAATACAAATAGAGAAAACTGAAAAGAGAGACAATGAAAGTAACAATCAATCAACAGACGAAAATAAAACCAACGCATTCACACAACAATAAAAGTACAAGAAAACCGAGAAATATTAACAGTCTAACTCTGTTCTGACGAGAAATAGCTTCTATGCAACTACGAAACTTAAAAGAAAATATGAGTCAAGCGATTTTTATTACTAATTCTATTAAAACTCTATCCTTATCTTCGAGAGTGAGCACTCTGTCACAAAGTGTGCTTGCCCTAAATGCGGTTATCAGAAAACTTCTTAATAAATCAGAAACTTTCGCTTTAAAAACAGTCTTCCAACTTACCATTATATATATATATATATATATATATATATATATATATATATATATATATATATATCAATGTATGTATATATAACAAATATTTAAGAACATATTTCTCATGACGTAGATATACAATGTGAATCAGACAGAAGATGGATATTAAGATAAATATAGCAGAGCATATAGTTCGAGTTATAGCAATAAGCCACGGCCTCTGATCGGGAGATTTGATGTTTTTTAGCAGCGTGGAACCGCCTATTAATTACTGTTGTTTCCATGTCGAACCTGATCAAGAGTAATAGCATCAGATAGGGTCCTAGCTATGGGCAAATAGTAAAGCCCCAAACAAAAACAAGACATTATGAAATCATAAAAACTCATTTCTACAGGGAAAAAATATCGGCAATATATACAGTAGTTTAAGACATACAATTAAGTTGGAAAAAATATATAGTTGAAGCCATAAAACAATGTTCCTAATATTTCGATTTCTGTTTTAAATAATCCATATTGGTTGATATGACGTCATACATCAACAAAACAATCAAGATGAAAGAATACCTTCGTGATAAATATCTTACAATTTCATAAAGCAAGTTTATTCCAAAATATAATTTCAACACAATAAAATACACATATCACCATCCCTCGTAATACTGCCCAGAGAAAGCTCAGTAATATCTACCATATATTCAACTGTGAAGAAAGAATAATATATATTAGTTGACTGGTTGATATAATATATATTAGTAGACATAGGGAGTTGATATGCCGTTAAACAAAACAATCAATCAATCGTATATATAAAAGTAAAAAAGTGGATACTAACTTCAGGCCAGATTGCTTTCATGCATGAAACAGGCTGTCGCCACTCAACATGATATTAGTGATCACCTTATATATATATATATATATATATATATATATATATATATATATATATATATGAGAATTATATATATATTTTTTTTTTTTTCATATATCAAAAACCGTATTGAGGAAATTGTATGGCAAAGTGGAAAAAGGTTACTTGTAACGCGTTTCGTCCTCAGGACTCTATCGGACTAAATTTGTCATAGTGGTTCGAGTGCACATGCAGCCGATCGAGGGTGCTGGGGATTTTAGAATTTTTAAAGATTTTTTTTTTTTAATATCTAGCCGAATCCATTTTCTATTTCTTTCCATCACTTTGTTTGTAGGTATCCCACACTGTAATTATAGATTATCTGCCTTGTGTAGTCGTACCAATATAACAAAGTTGAAGACTTGAAGTACGAAACGCGTCACAAGTAAACTTTTTTACACTTCCACTGTCTCATGTATTATATATATATATATATATATATATATATATATATATATATATATATATATGTGTGTGTGTATATATATATATAAATAATATATATATATATATATACATATCGATAGATAGATAATGATAATATTAATGGTCAATATATATATATATATTACACTAATATATTAAACTATTTACACTTCCATTGCATCATATATATATATATATATATATATATATATATATATATATATATATGTGTGTGTGTGTGTGTGTGTGCATATATATATAGATAGATAGATAGATGAATAATGATAACATTAGTGGTCAATATATATATATATATATATATATATATATATATATATATATATATATATATATATATCAATTCCCAAGAGGATATAATCCAGGTAGAACTCAATGTTCACGACAGAGTAAGAAAATAATATAAAAGCCTCAAACACTAATATTCCATGGTTATAATTTATTACATTGGAATCGTAATCACGAATAATTTATAATAATTTATAATAATAATGTCTTACATTGTACTCGTAATCACGATTCAATACATTGGGTCTGCTGAATTGGATCGTGATTACGATTCCAATGTTATAAATTATAACCATGTTTATATATAATGGACGTGCTTCTAGCTCATTTCATATTAATGCAGTAGACCTTCAAAACTCGATCCACGGACCTGCGGTGTTTCTCGTCTTCAACAAAATAGAACTGGCAACTGTTATAGAAATTTGACTTCAATCAATGGTTAAATGTGTTAAAGAATCGCTGGTAAATTTTAACGTCCTCAAAACAAATCTGCTTCCATTTAATCAACACAGACAACCTGTCTGGCTGATGCTAAACTCCATTTTGTGCCTTCACGGATGCACGTTATCCACTGACATCAAGTAGAGTGATTATATTAAATCAATTGCGAAGTCTACTGCTAGCAAAGTTGGTTCGCTCTGTCCTACCAGACAATTCTTCCCATTAGAATTTCTCTTGCACATTTATACATCTATCATTCTTGCGTATATTGGATATCGCTGCCATATCTGTTCTGGTATTTGTACTACTTATCTCGACGCAAAATTCAAAGAAGGTTCTGCAACTTGAATCACGACTTCAGCTAATTTCTCGCCGAGATGACGTGACTTACATCTCTCTTTTCTTCAATTTAAGGCATTAAACGTGTTAATAGATTGGTAACTGGGTCCCACGATTTTACCATTGAACCATCTAGGTACAAACGTTAGTTCCATTGTGATTTCTTGCTTCCTCGCCAACTACAATCTTTAAAAAAAATAAATGGAACCTCAATCGCCATCTTTTGTCTACCTGAAACATGTATCTTATTGTCTTTTTTTCACTTGCCATCACGAAAGTCTTCTCATTCTCTTTCACTTCCTGTAACCCCTTGCGTCATAGCTTGTTTGAGGTAAAATGATATATATATATATATATGTGTGTGTGTGTGTGCGTGCGTGTGTGTGTGTATGTATTTATGTATGTATAAAGGTAAAAGACAATAGGAAAATTGTATTTTTAGCCTTGGTGTTTTGTCCAATGTCGACTCTGTCAAGACAAAAACGAAATTAATTTATTGAAAACAAAGTAACTATTAACAACAAACAAAATGTCCTTAACAACTAAAAAAAATTAGAAAACGCTATTAATTGTATTAATATTGTCAACTGAAAATTACAACGTCCTAATAATAATAATAAACTCGTGTGTGTTTGTATATATATATATATATATATATATATATATATCGAACCTATGCACCCGATTTAGAAATCCCCGTTTAATGTGGTGACCTTTAAAGCTCGGCTATAAAGAACGCACAATTTCTTCATAAAATAGTGGGCGTCTATTTCAAATACGAATATGTATTATTATAACGTTTGAAGTAATATATATATATATATATATATATATATATATATATATATATATATATATGTGTGTGTGTGTGTGTGTGTGTGTGAGAGAGAGAGAGAGAGAGAGAGAGAGAAAGAGAGCCAGACAGACAGAGAGGTAGAGAGAAATAGAAACAGTAATTTTTCTCTAACACGTTTTTGGGTAATTGCTTACTGCCATCCGAGATTTATTTGTTTGTGTAGATTTTACCTTCCTTTTCAAAAGGTTTTGTTGTTTGCCATGAAATACATTTTGTAAAAAGCTTTCAGTCTCCGTTCTGAATCTCGTTCCTGGAAAACGCGCTCACTGCCGCGACTAATCTTTTTTATTGACCTCTTCTTCTGCCCATTACCGTATTATATCTTCTCGTATTGCTTTAAGCCCACTTGAAGGCAAAGTCGTCCTTATCATCATCATCATCATCATCATCATCATCATTATTATTAGGACTGACTTCATCTGCTTCCTTTACAATCAGGTCTAAAATATGGACATTTCCAATAACGCGGTTTTGCACCATATTTTTTGTTGGTGATGCGGAGTGAGCTTTTTAGATGTGAAGAAGAAGAAGAAGAAGAAGAAGATGAAGAAGAAGAAAAGAAGAAGCAGGAGGAGGAGAATAATAATAGCAATAATAATAATAAGAAGAAGGAGGAGGAGGAGAATAATAATAATAATAATAAGAAGAAGAAGAAGGAGGAGGGGGAGGAGAATAATAATAGCAATAATAATAATAAGAAGAAGAACAAGAAGAACAAGAAGGAGGAGGAGGAGAAGAAGAAGAAGAAGAAGAAGGAATAAAATAAGAAGAAGAAGAAGGAGGAGGAGGAGGAGAATAATAATAGCAATAATAATAATAAGAAGAAGAACAAGAAGGAGGAGAAGAAGAAGAAGAAGAAGAAGGAGGAAGATAATAATACTAATAATAATAATAATAATAATAATAATAATGAGAAGAAGATGAAAAAGAAGAAGAAGAAGAAGAAGAAGAAGAAGAAGAAGAAGAAGAAGAAGAAGAAGAAGAAAACAATGAAATAGAGAAAGGAAGTGAGAACAATACTGGAAAATATTGTACAACTCGTAACAGAATGAAATAGTTAAGAAAATTAGATTAATGTTTAAGAAGAAGAAGCATGAAATATTGAAATTTATTGTATAATACTGGCTGGAAGAAATATTTTTAAAAAAGTCAATGAAAGCAACATTGTTTTAAATACAAATTGCTATTTGGAAATAATGAATTAAAACGCGAAAGCCAGAAAGAAAGAAAGCCTTAAACTAATAAATAAATAAAGAAAGAAAGAAAGAAAGAAAGAAAGAAAGAAAGAAAGAAAGAAAGAAAAAAAGAAAGAAAAAAAGAAAAAAGGAAGAAAGGACGAACGAACGAACGAAAGAAAGAAAGAAAAAAGAAAAAGAATAAAGAAGCCGTCTGATAAAATGAATCTCAAATGAAGAAGAAAAAAATGGAAGAAGTGTCAGTGAAAGAAAAATAGGAAAACAGAAAGAATAATGTACAGAAAACTATTTTGTAAAAGTGGACACTTATTTAGAAAATATATGAAAGCATGAAAAGCAGATTACGAACGAACGAAAGAAAGAAAGACGGAAAGAAAAAAATGAAAAATATTATTTTAAAAGTAATATCGAAAGAAAGAAAGATGGAAAGAAGAAGAAGAAGAAGAAGAAGGAGAAGGAGAAGGTAAAATCGAATATCAAAGACCAAATCTATTGCCATTAACTTTAATTGGTCAGACATTCATCTGAATTTGGCCTTTGCCAAATAGATGCATCATTCACAATTTGACATTAAGCTCAATCTAAAACTCTAAAAACATTATCCTTGTTACAACTGAAAAAAAATAACTTATCAGCAAAAGATTTTCGCTACACTTGACCTTCAACTAATCTCTACAATAAAAAAATATTGATTCTAGTATTACTGATGAAGGAATAAAATAATATTAACCAAGAAGGTATTACTTATTTTTTAAAATCTTTTATAGTCATTACTTCTTCAGACATTATTATTTGCTGTTTATTTTTCTCTGGTGATCAAATAACAGGAGACATGCTCAAATGTACAGCACGATTAACTGAATCATTAGACTTCAGCACTACCATATTCTAAACTGTTTCAATATTTAGAAATTGGCTGTAACCATCGAAATTCCATAGGGTTATCCGTTGTCTTGTACCTTAGATTTTTCACACAACTTCTGCCTATATTTTCCCACTCTCTGTTTTATCCTTTCCAATCCTTGTTTTATTGGATAAACGAATAAGGAATTCACACACAGTTTCTACTCTAACCTTGATCTTCTCTTTCTTTTCCTCGATTACAAGAATTGGAGGAATTTTAATCCATGAAACTTTTTATACGATATATCGCTCTGATTTCCAGCAAGTAAACCAGTCTCTATCTATCTCTTTCTTTCGCTTTTCCTTTTCTTTCTCTATCTTTTCTATCTCCCATTTTCTATTTCTCTCTATCGTTTTCCATACAAAACGCGTGCACACATACACACACACGCACACAAACACACACACACAGATATATATATATATATATATATATATATATATATATATATATATATATATATATATATATATATATATATAGTAATTATACAGCTAAACTGCTACAATTTAACATATTTCAAAGCGAGGAGACGTATTATCAAGAGGGCAGTCCTTACTTTGCTATCTTGATAGAGTTCAAAAGCGTCTCTGTGTCCTTGTGGGTGAATTAATTTCAACACTCCAACCTTTCCCACACTGGCGGGATGTGTCGAGCCTCACACTTCTCTATCGTTACTTCCATGTAAAGTGCTTGGACAAAGTAGATTCTTTTTTTTCCATCTGATCTAACCATCACGGCTAGCACCCGCCATAACACTTACTTAGTAGCAGATCACCACATTTCATCCGCATTCGATCGGTGAGAAGTAAGTTCCACTCAAACAGTTTATTCCTGCGAACCACTGCCCTATGGAAACGACTCCCAAGAGGATGTTTCCCTGATCACTACAATCTTAACCGGTTCATGGTTAGGGTAACCGTTACACATAAATGGCCTCCTACCGTAAGTGGCTCCGGGCCTTGTAAGGGCTAAGCCTTACTGTAAAAAAAGTACCCAATAGAGTATGTAGTTTCTTAGCGTGTTTTTTTTTTTGTTTTTAGAAGACATAATTGATTTCAGTTCAGAAGATCCAGGAATTCAAACAGATACTACACTCTGATCATTGATAGAAAAGGGATCCAGTTATACCGAGAAAAAAAAACACGAAATAAAAGTAAAGATACTGAATATTTTTCTTTTTTGCCTTTAATATTATTGCCAGTTGTTTTTAATGGTTATCGCTAGCGATTTCACAGTATCTTCTAAAATCCCGACACTACCGTGATATGGTGCGTTGTTTCTAATTAATCAAATCTAGCTGTCTTTCCAAATGCGTATCTTTTGAAGAGCACCACTTGAAACTTTTTGTTCTTTGGTTTTTTAGCTACCTAGCGAGTCTTACTATTATTGTGGATACTAAGTAACGACTCAGTCCATTTTAATTACCGAGCGACTCTTACTATTATTATGGATGCTGAGTGACGACACAGTCGAAGTAAAAAAAAAGATTTTTCCCGTTGGGTAACAAGAAAAGGATTAGAGGAATTGTAAGTCCAAGAATTAATGAATATTTGGAAATAACTTCAATGAGTCCTTTTTGTCGAATGGTCGGTTATGGCGGAAATCCACGTAAATGCGTTGTATTATTGTTTACATATATTCTTTCCTTTATTCTGTACTTTGATTTTAATTATTTAAGTGTATTTCTTTTTTGAATGGTTGGACTTATTTGTACATATATCTTGCCATGTTTTTTTGTACATTGTAACAAAAAAAATGTTCAACGTTAATCTCTAGCTTGATTGTATTATTGATAGATGATATTTGAACCTATATTAAGTTAAAACTTAAGAGATAATATCATTTCTATAACTCACTCTAACCTAACGCATATATTCGGAGCTAATTGCCGTAATCTTATATTTAATATTTATTTCAGTTGTCATCGATCAGATCAGGTTCCCTGTTCCTTCGAGGGTCTGTCTCCACACTGTTATTCTAACGTCTCCGACTGAACGCTGAAATGTTATTCACGAATTATTTATTTGTTTCCTGTTTAGGAGTGGGTTTCCGGTTCCTTCTAAAGTCTTTTTCAGCTCTGCACTTCTAACGTCTGCGCCTGAACGCTGCAATTTTATTCATGAATTATTTATTTTATTTTACTATTTTCTACCCTTCACCAATAAGAGGAGATAGGTTCGCCTATCACCCGGCTTACACTCCTCCCCGGTCTTTTAAACCGGAGTATATGTTTATCGCTTGTTTCCTGTTTTGAACTCAGTTTCCGGTTTTTTTTTCTTAAGTCTACTTCAAGTCTATACTCTTAATGCTAGTTTCTTAAGCAAATACAACTGCACACAGTAACCATCTACCTTGAATAGCTCTTGGGTCTTGTATTGTGTGAACATTAGTAAAAAGAAAAATATATTGGCGAACACTGTTAAGAATACGAGAAAAATGGTAGTAACTGTCACTTTTTACATCTTTTTATCTTTACAGGGGTCAGATTTAACGAAGAAAATAGAATTCCTTGCCATATTTAGGCTGGAGCTGCTCAATCCTTCCCTTTCCAGCCTTCATTGAGTTAAACATTTTTACGCGACCTTGCTGGGGGTATGACTTATAATAAATATTTTTGGAGGTGCTGAAGTTAACATGCCAATCCTTGTCCCAGTTAATGACAGACTGTATGTCATTTTTCGATCAGCCGCCAATTTTACTTTATCGAACTGATCAGATTTACTATCGAGTAAGGAATAAATCTGATCAGTTTGATAAATTCAAATTGTCAACTGATCTAAAAATCACATCCAGTCTGTCATTGACTGGAATAAACATTCGTATGTTAGCCCTCAATATCTCCAAAACGAAACTTCTCTCCTTTAACCTTTACCACACTGCAGGTGACAATAGTCGCCACAGAATTCTCTCCCTTTGCTACTGTAGCGGCTACTACCATGCATACCTGAGTAATTTTATGGATTCTACTGGCAACCATCGATATAATTGATAGCCTTTTTGAAGGTTTAATTATTTTGTCTATTTATAAACGACGAGATAATAACTTTATTCGTCAACGAGAAAAATAAATACGGGTCTGGCGAAAGAAAGTGCACAGAAATGCTAGTGTCTCCTCCTATGTATAACACGAGGAAACGTCACTTTCTTGATGAAATGAAATGAAAGCCTTCTTAGCGATTTTGTTTCTTATTTCACCCCCAGAACTCCACAAGGAGTAATAAAAGTTAAATTTACGTTGAATAATTTTATGTATTTTTTAATATATTTCTTTTTTTTTATTTCGCGTTTCAGTTTTTTTTCAACGTCAAAACGTGCATGCAAAACGTAATGCATTCCATAATGCATTACATCAAAATATTATTCATTCTTTTATTAGTGTATAAAAATTAACATAAAGAAAGTTATAACAATTAGGTTTTAATGTTTTTGGACTCTCAAAAAAAAGAAAGAAAAAAAAAGAAAAAAAGCAAGGCAAACAATTCTAGAAAGAAATTAGTGCAGTAAAGATTAATAATCTGAGAGTCTCCTTCCTACTTCCCTCCTTCCTTCCTTCAGCAAGGAGTATGCTAACCTCCAGGAGAGCGACCCGTTGCTCCTTCCCGGGTTAACATTATCGGCTGACATGAAGTAGAAAGATTATATTGAATCTACTGCTAGGTCTGATGCTAAGATAGTTGTTTCATTGGGCTGTACTAGACGCGTTACTTTTCTATCCAGAAGTACCTGCTTGGAATATTGATATAACATATGATCTGGTACTCTTATGGTATGTCACATAGAATGGAATCGTTCGTTTATAAGCGGAGTTGAGCAGTTAGGATTAGGTCTTAGTCGTCCGACAAGCTTTTAATGCTTGTCTAAGGCTCTCTAATTCTCTCTCTCTCTATCCTCTCCACACACGCGCGCACACACACACACACATATATATATATATATATATATATGTGTGTGTGTGTGTGTGTGTGTGTGTGGAGAGACAGACAGATATACAAACAGACAGATAGACAAACAGACAGAGTCGTACGGTGGAGTAATGGATTGCGGCTCGGATCGAGGACTCGGAGAACCGATTTTAAATTCCAGTCGGGTCCATTACGTGCTAATATCTTGGGAAAGGTATGAATCCTCTTCTTCCCCCCCCCCAGATATGGGTAAATAGCAGGACAGGGTACTATAGCCTTGGATTGCAAATGGAAAGACACATGTGAATTCAAAGTTGTGCATCAGATTTCTGTATTCGGCTCTTCAAAAAGTGTGGTTGGTTCTGTACAAAGACTTCGCCACTATAATCAAATCATACATGTATATCTGGCTGTCGGTTTCTAAGAACTGAAGTTACTTGACCCTCATATGTCGAAAAAACGACGGGAGATTCCACTATATATAATATCCACAGGGACGACCAATTGTGTTGTAAAATTTAGTAAAGTGATTTAGTAAAACAATTATTAAATCATTAGTGTGAATTCCCCAAAGTTTATCAGAAGCATAAAATATATTAATCGCTTTGTATTAATTGAATTATGGCTAGATGTAACCGTAAGTTCTATGCTAAGAGTTTCTTCTATCGCTTTTCTCTCTTGTAACACTCT